AGGGGCCGGGGTGGACTTGGTTTCCCAAGTAACTTGGAGGCCCTCCAGATATGCCTTCCAATTTGCTGGAGCAATGAAAGGGCCCTTCTGTTAACTCCTGTAGTGAGAAAGGGAAGGTACAGTAACCAAGAACCTGATCACACTCTGGGTGGTTGGATCCAGAGCCGAGAATCTAGGCCCTAGATGAAGAGATGAAGGTTCAAGGAGTTTGGCTAGTTTAGAGGTAGAACTCTATGTCCTAAGATTGTCTCTGCCATTCCCCCTTTGGAGCTGCAAACTTCGAAAAGTCAAGTCTTCCTTCCCTGCTGATCCTGTGTCCCACCCCAATTTCCCAATTTAGATTTCACTGCTTTCTGACTGTTGTTGTGAGCCGCATGTTTACCAAGCCTCCAGGCTCTTGCCCTGACCCTCTCCTCTCAACCCCACCAGGTACCCCAAGAAGCTGGTGCAGACCTACTCAGTGTTCCCCAACCAGGACGAGATGAGCGATGTGGTGGTCCAGCCCTACAACTCCCTGCTCACGCTCAAGAGGCTGACCCAGAACGCAGACTGTGTGGTGTGTCCTGGATTCTGCCATTCTCCACTCCCACCCCCTGTCTATTTCATCATTTTCCTACATTTAAAAAGTCTATTTTGAGCTCTTCTGTGCTTCTGTCCTGTGCCACACTGCCTTTTGGATGGGTCTTTCTGGCCATGAAGATGAAGCACCAAGGAAATTAAGCTTCAGAGCCCAGATTCAGGCAAAGTTCCTATTCTTTCTGTCCTCATAAATCTGTCACCCTCTTGTGTCCCCCCAGGTGGTGCTGGACAACACGGCCCTGAACCGGATCGCCACAGACCGCCTGCACATCCAGAACCCGTCCTTTTCCCAGATCAACCAGCTGGTGAGCCCCCACTCCTGGACTGGGAGCCCTCCTTCCTGGAGTGCCGTCTGGGGAAGGGAGGCGCCGCCCCAGGCCAAGGCCCGTGACCCGGCACCCCCGTCCCCAGGTGTCCACCATCATGTCAGCCAGCACCACCACCCTGCGCTACCCCGGCTACATGAACAACGACCTCATCGGCCTCATCGCCTCGCTCATCCCCACTCCTCGACTCCACTTCCTCATGACCGGCTACACCCCGCTCACCACGGACCAGTCGGTAGGAGCGCCTCCGGCAGGCCCTGGCCTAGCCTCTCTGCCCCCCTGCTGCCCCCTCCAGGAGCTGCCCTTTGCAGCCCCCAGAGGCTCTGTGCTCGGGGCCGGGCACAGACTGTTGGGCTCCGCGCTGACCTGCTCTCCTCTCCCCTCCCCCCTGGCTCCCTGCAGGGCCCAGGCTGTGTGGGGTGTGCTGATGCTCCAGCACAGGGGCATGGCCTTGCTGAGCAGAGGAGGGCTCAGACTCCTGGTCCCGCAGCCGAGGCTCAGTGTAGACCTGAATCTCAAGACGCTTCCCAGGGAGACCATCCTAGCCCGAGTCTGATGGGGGTCAGGCACTGGACCGAGCCCTGAGTGCTGGCCTGGTCCCTGTGGCCCACTCTCCCCTCAGGTGGCCAGCGTGAGGAAGACCACGGTCCTGGACGTCATGAGGCGGCTGCTACAGCCCAAGAACGTGATGGTGTCCACGGGCCGGGACCGCCAGACCAACCATTGCTACATCGCCATCCTCAACATCATCCAGGGGGAGGTGGACCCCACCCAGGTAGGTGAGGCCCCTTCGTGCCACCCCCGGAACCCACAGGGGTAGAGGAGAGGCTACCACCACCACTGTTGTGTCCACCCCTCCCCACCCCACCCCCAGGTCCACAAGAGTCTGCAGAGGATCCGGGAACGGAAGTTGGCCAACTTCATCCCCTGGGGCCCTGCCAGCATCCAGGTGGCCTTGTCAAGGAAGTCTCCCTACCTGCCTTCGGCCCACCGGGTCAGTGGGCTCATGATGGCCAACCACACCAGCATCTCCTCGGTGAGGCTTAGAGTTTGCGCCTAACTTCCCGTACTGGCTTCCCTGGTTGGGCCTCACCTCTCCACATCCCTGCTGCCCCTGCTTCCAGCTCTCTTAATGTGCAGACTGCCCAGCCTTGGTTCCCTGGGTCTCTGGGCCATATTGTTACTCTGAGTTCTTTGTGACCCCTGCTTTCTGCACACACCAAGCTCTTCGAGCGGACCTGTCGCCAGTACGACAAGCTGCGGAAGCGGGAAGCCTTCCTGGAGCAGTTCCGCAAAGAGGACATCTTCAAGGAGAACTTCGATGAGCTGGACACGTCCAGGGAGGTTGTGCAGCAGCTCATCGACGAGTACCATGCAGCCACGCGGCCAGACTACATCTCCTGGGGCGCCCAGGAGCAGTGAGTCCCCCAGGACTGGGACCTCATCTGCCTTACTGGTTGGCCCAGGCCCCGCCTGACTGACCACCCGCTCAGAGCACAGATCAGGGACCTCACACATCTCTTCCTCATAAACACACATGCACGTATTCTGTATTGGCCTGGGGACACATTTCTGTCTCCTCTGATGAGACTATTTATGTCAAATAAAGCACTGGACATGAATCAAGTTACTGGTCTCCTAAAGGCTTGTAGATGTGGGGAAGGGGGGGCTCCTGTTCTTTCCCCTACTTCCAGCCTCTCCAACTCTGAGCAAGTGCCTCTCCTCACTTTTCCTTCTCCTTTCTCATTTTGGAGAACATAAGTGTTGCCTACCCATGTGAGACATGCCTTCCCAGGGTAAAAAAGCCAACAGATACTACCTTACTCTCTGCTGACATTCTGGGTCTCAGGGCCCTCCCACCCTTCCTTGTATCAGGTGACCATTCTACCAGTTTCATGTTCCCACATCAGAGAGTCCTGTTCATCATAGCAAGCAGGCTTGCAGCCACCACCCGCACCGCCAGGCCCTGGGCAAGCAGGAGAGTTGATCCAAGTGCCTTTAATCTTGTAGTCATAGTATGCCAGAGAGCCAGTCCCAGAAAGCCACTGGGCCGGCAGCTGGAGTCGAGGACAATCAACTCCAGAGACCAAACTCAAAGCCTAGATGATAAGCAGGGCCCAGAGTGGGCCCATAGCTAAGGCTCCATAATTCTCTTCACAGGTGCTCTTCAGAGCCCTCCTGCTTCTTGTGGAAGAGTGCAGGGAGGTAATAAATATATAATGACCTAAATGCTCAGAATCAAAAGGGCAAAGCAGGTTGTCCCTAGATCATAGTGGATTGTTAGGGCCCCTCTTAAGCCTTTATGTGCCCCAAAGGTGATGTTTGGGGAGCAACAGCAAACATGAATATGGACACATTACTTGTTCGATCCTCCGCATTTTGTTCAATCCTCATGACAATTCTATGAAGTGACAGATATTAGTATCGTTTTATAAATGGGGAAACTAAGACCAACCGTGGTTAATGTACCAAGTCACTCACCTGGTAAATGACAGTCGGAGTCAAATCCTGGCTTGACTGTCATCAGTATCCCCGACCATTGCATGTCCTGCCTTTTATGATATTTTGGGTTAGTGTAGAATCCCGTTTCTGAGGTCTTTTGGAGCCACTGGATGAGTGCGTGGCTGTCAGAGGATGTGAGGACTGTGAACACTTGTGCTGACAGGTGCAGTCTCTGCGTTGGAGGGACCGTCAACCTCAACTTGCTTCAGGTGAAGTGTCCCCATCACCCATGTCAGGGTAGCTGGGGACCTGTGCCTGCCTTACTACTGTCACCACCAGGATGCCTGGCCAAAGCCAGATGGCTAGCTCAGTGGATCAGAAGGATTAGGGCTGGCAGAGCTCAACACACAGGCGATGGACCAGCCCAAGAAGGTGTCTGTGAGTCCCTACAGAGCCTGGAGATTACCCAGGATTGGTATGCTTAATTTGGGCAAATTAAGATTGTTTTCTTCTTGTTCATTGCTGGCCGGCGGACCTTTTCCTTCCATGGACCTACTTATCTTTAATAAAACTTTAACGTATGAACTGTGAGCAACATTTAGGCCAGACCCTTATGATCAAAAGGGATGGATGGGCAGAGAATGGGCCGTCAGAGGCTAGGCCCTGGGCTGCCTTATGGGTGGCAGGGAGACCATAAGCCTGTCACCACCACAGTCAAAGCATGAGCTTGTCACTTTCAGTTGCCAGGACTCTCCTGAGGCAGCCTGGTTGGTGTCAACCAGCTGCCTGTCGTCTGAGTTGAGAGGGTGACTTCAGGGAAAACCGGCGTGCACCTGGTGCCTTCTCGGCTCCACCTCTGGCCCCTGCACCAGTGGGCACCCTGCCTCGCTCCTCTCTCCCTTTACCACCCCTGCCCCTGATGACCAACCTTTCATCACCTGGGGTATCTATACGAGTGACTGGTGCTGAGTAGGAGTCATGCGCGCTGGCAGATGTGACAAGGCTGCTATATGTGAATGGTTGGCTGGACCCCTCCCAGCTACAAGCCCAGGGCCTGCCTTCCTTTGCCAGACCCAATTAAAGGCTGTGAGCCCCAGGGGGAGGAAGCACCAGCTAGCCCAGAGTAGAAGTTTTCTGTCACTAACCCAAGGGGTAAATACTGTGTGCAGGGGGGCCTCCCTGGAAAGGAGAGCTGGATCTGTAAAGTTGCCTCCTCCTGACGGCTGAGTGCCAGGCACTAGGAGCACAGACACACACCTCAATGCCAGCTTCAAAGCCAGGCCCCTCCCCCAAGGCTATTTCCAGATCACCCATCACCCCACACCAACACAGCCCCTCCCGGTTCTTGGCCTGCGGCAAACCCCAAAGTATGTCAAGTAGAGGGCAGCGAGGAGGCCAGGTGGAAAGGGAGGAAAGCCTCTGGGAATCGGGGCAGCAGGTGGTGCTGGTGGTGAAAAATCCCTGTGGTCTGAGAGACTGCAAACCACAGAAGTAACGGTCCTGATGAGAGACAAGCTGCAGAAAAGTTGGAGAGAAAGAAGGCTCGTGCACAGAACGGGAATCTCTTTTTGACTAAGCAAAATAAGAGAAAATCAGCCATTTCAAGGGAATAGTCCCAGAACCCCTGTGTGATGTGACTCGGGGACAGAGATCTAGTATCAGGAAGCACTTTATAATAAAAGTAGAGTGGCGTAAACGAATCTGGAATTTAGGATTGTCACTTTGGATAGGTGTACTGGGGTGAGGCAAAGAGGCACTAGCACAAGAGTGGGTTGGGAGCTCACGGTAAGTACAGATGCCCGCCAGGGTGGGTGAGTCAGTCCAGGAAGCCTCATTCGTGGTCTCCACTGGTCACACGCATCCTCCATCTCCCGAGAAAGGAGCTGTCTGCAGCAGAGAGTCAACTAAAATCCAACATCAGCACACCTTCTGGTAACGCCCGCCTCCACCACTTGCTCACTTTCCATTCCTTCTTGGGTACCTTAAACAGGTAAGGTGGTGCCCTAGGAAAGTAACAGGAACATTTTTTTTTTAATGTTTTATTTACTTCTGAGAAATAGAGACAGCGTGAGCAGGGGAGGGTCAGAGAGAGAAGGAGACACAAAATCTGAAGCAGGCCCCAGGCTCTGAGCTAGCCGTCAGCACAGAGCCCGACGCAGGGCTCGAACCCACGAACCGTGACATCATGACTTGAACTGAAGTCAGACACTTAACTGACTGAGCCACCCAGGTGCCCCAACAGGAATATTTTAAATTGATGTTCTGACTTACTAATCCATCATTTGTAACTTTTAGTGAAATTCCCTAGGGTCTGATCACTGCAATGTGAATTGGTAAAATCGAGTTTCTTGCAAAGCTGTAGGCTCTGTCATTCAGGGTCTAACACCTTATGAGGCAAAAAGGGCCTCCACCGACTTAACATACATATAGGCTCATGACAGTTGGATGCAACAAAGAGGGGCTCAGTGCTTGTCTAAGGCTTTGGCAGCTTAGTGAATTCCACATGCAAGGCCATCAATTCCATGTGCAAGGCCATTGTGAATGACAGCAGTCTTTACACTTCTGGTAAACCAGTATGAACGGCCATTACACCTCCAGCAGCAATTCTTCCTTTGCCGTGGGGGTGGGGGGCAGGGGGTGACAGGTGGAGCAGAACCTTGACTGTACCTGAGCCTCCGCCTCAGTGAGACTCAGTGGCGGCAGGATAGGAGGCGTTATGAATTATTCATAGGGTGACCAACTCAACCTGGTTTTAGCGCTGAAAGTTCTGAGTCTCAAGAACACCCTCAGGGGCACCTGGGTGGCTCAGTCGGTTGGGTGTCTGACTTCGGCTCAGGTCATGATCTCACAGTTCACGGGTTCGAGCCCCGCTTTGAGCTCTGTGCTAACAGCTAGCTCAGAGCCTGGAACCTGTTTCAGATTCTGTGTCTCCCTCTCTCTCTGACCCTCCCCTGCTTATGCTGTCTCTCAGAAGTAAATAAAACATTAAAAAAAAAAAGAACACCCTCAGTTCAGTTTTAACTAAAACTCCCACATTCCCTCAGTCCTCAGAAAACCGGGATGGTGGGTCACCCTAAATTAAAGAACTCCACAGAGAATGATCGGGATATCTTGAAGCAGTATATATGAATGATCAGGGCTGCATTAAGGTCCAGTAGACATTTGTTAATTAATTACACAAGGGGCGCCTGGGTGGCTTAGTCGGTTGAGCGTCCGACTTTCGCTTAGGTCATGATCTCGCGGTTCGTGGGTTCGGGCCCCGCGTCGGGCTCTGTGCTGACTGCCAGCTCAGAGCCTGGAGCCTGTTTCAGTCTGTGACTCCCTGTCTCTCTGACCCTCCCCTGCTCACGCTGTCTCTCTCTCTCTCTCTCCTAGAAATAAATAAAACATTAAAAAAAAAAGAAATAAATTTAACAAAAAAGCATAAAACTTGCACTCTAAAAACTGTAAAACATTACTGCAAGAAATTAAAAATCTCAATAATTGAAAAAATATATGTTCATGGATCAGAAGATATACTGTTAAGATGGCAATACACTCGAAATTAATCTAGAGATCAGTGCATTNTGATCTCGCGGTTCGTGGGTTCGGGCCCCGCGTCGGGCTCTGTGCTGACTGCCAGCTCAGAGCCTGGAGCCTATTTCAGAGTCTGTGTCTCCCTCTCTGTCTGACCCTCACCTGCTCACGCTGTCTCCCTCTCTCCTAGAAATAAATTAAAAAAATATATATAAAAAAATTAATTACACAAACAATTATTAAAAATAAAGACCAAGTTGTCCATTAAGCTTCATAATGAACCCTACCTAAGGGGGTTTCCAATTTTACTGAGGGTAGGGAATATAATATGTAATATAATTTATATGAAATATATATCATATGTTAATAATACAATTTTGCATGTGATCATATATTTTATTATTCTGCTTTTTAAAAAATTAAGTATGTCCACACCCAACATGGGGCTTGAATTCACCACCCTGAGATTATGAATCAATCTCATGCAGTCTCATGCTTTACTGACTGAGCCAGCCAGATGCCCCCGTTATTCTGTTTTTTAAATTAAATGGCTGGGTGACTAAATTGGTTAAGTGTCTCCTTTTTTCTAATATTTTATTTATTTGAAAGAGACAGAGAGAGAGAATCTCAAGCAGGCTCCATACCCAGCACACAGCCCAACATTGGGCTTGATCCCATGACTCTGGCATCATGACCTGAGCCAAAGTCAACAGTCACCTGTTCAATCAACAGCCACCCAGGTGTCCCAAGTGTCTGACTTCTGATTTTGGCTCAGGTCATGAGCTCATGGTTCATGGGATTGAGCCCCGCATCAGGCTCCGCACCTCCCTTGCTCACTCAATCAAAGAAAATAAATAAACAAAAAAAATAATAAATTAAATATCTCAAAATATAATTTGTCCAATTTTAAGTACGACATGTAAAATCTAATACAAAACAATACTGAAATCATTATTGGCCATTTAATATACACCATGTACTGTTCTAAGCACTTTACATATGTGAGCTCATTTAATTTTGACAACAACCCTATAGATAGGTACTGTCGTATCCCGATTTTTACAAATAAGGAAACTGAAGCTCAGGGTCACACAGCTGGGAAGTGGTCTTTCCCTGCCTGGAAAGGGAAAACTTAGGAAGAGATGCATTAACTGCCAGACATATGGTAGGCTGTCAGCTGCAGGAAGGAAGGGGCTCTTCTGTGACACTCTGGGAGCAGAATGGGGGGCCAGTGGAGGGAACTATGAAGGGGCATGTGGTAGCTCCACAGAAGGAAAGACATCCACAGGATTGCTGCTGTCCTCATCGAATGAGTAGTCACATGGACCATGAGTCCCCCTCCACTGAACTCAGTCAAGCAAATTCTGCATGATGCCTCTCCTGGAATGGATGGAGATGGATGAGGTAATCTTTAAAAAAAAAAACAAAAAAAAAAACCACCTTTTTTTTTAATCTTTATTTATTTTTGAGAGAGAGACAGAGCACACGTGGGGGAGGGGCAGAGAGAGAGGGAGACACAGAATCTGAAGCAGGCTCCAGGCTCTGAGCTGTCAGCACAGAACTCGACACAGGGCTTGAACTCACGAACCTCGAGATCATGACCTGAGCCGAAGTTGGAGGCTTAACCAACTGAGTCACCCAGGCGCCCCTGAGGTGATCTTTAATATGCCTTCCGGCCTTAAGGATTTAGGAATTTCTTGGAAACCAATATCCTTTATAATAAAGCATATTCATTCTTAAAACAAATATATTAAGGCCTGCTGTGTGCCTGAACCCTTTCCAGGGGATACCCAGGAGGTGCATAAGATCATGAGTCTCAAAAAATTCACTGCCTAAGACATCGATGCAGCAAAGTGACAGTTAAGGCGATAAGCACACATCAGCATGATCACAACAGTGTGTGCTCGGTAAATATTAATTGAGTGTTTGCAAGAATGAAAGGCTATGGGAGGGCAGTGTGGGAGTCACACAGAGGAATGATCATTTGATGGGGTCTTGAGTTCTGAGGGAAGCTTTCTAATCAGAAACATAAGAAAAGGTAGGGAGACTAGCATGTGCTGAGGCCCAGGAGGGTAGGGAAGTATGAGATGGACTTGATCTCTCTTCTGCAGCTCAACCACCCACTTCCTGTCATCCAGGAAAGGGAAGCTCACACCAGGCAAATGAGGCCACCAGGGCCCACCTGGGGCTGATAGAAGGCCAGAGGCAGAGAAAAGGGGTTATGACCCAACCCAGGTATGACAGAAGGCTTCCCTGAGATAACCAGCAAGGCCTTGTATGCAACGAAGCAATTAATGTGTTGACACCCAGAGGGAAAAGCATGGTAGGCAAAGGGAAAAGAACCTGAGAGGGCAGGGAGGCCGAGAAAAGGACAGTGGATTCTGGAAACGGCAAAGGCCCAGAAGGTGCATTTGGGGGAGCAACAGAGGACAAGGTCAGGTTGATATTCCAAGACCAGACAGGTCATGCAGGACCTTTTATGCCATGTAGAGTTTGGACTTTATTCTCTGAACAAAGGGGAACCCTGAAGGCCAGCTGGGAAGCCACAGTCACCAGCCTGCCCTTTCTGGACTTTTCACCCAAAACAACACTGCCCCCTGCCCCCACCCCCTGCTTTCTATTCCCTCCTGTTCTCTAACTCTTTCTGCAAACCAGTATTTGGCAGAATCTGATATCAGAACGCTAGCTCATGTCCAGCTCCCTCCTAAAGGTGGGTTCTTTGATGCTTTTGCCCACACTGACAGCCTGTTCTTTATCATTCTGTTCCCAGGCACCATGGCCTGCCCTGCCCTGCCCTGAACTGTTCTAGACCAGCTCTGCGCAGCAGACTGCCTCTCTTTCTTCCCCGCCCCAAAGCCCTCACAGATCAGTCCTGACCTGGGCGTACCTGGGGCCTCCTCGCCAAGCTCAGCTGCACCATTCCTGTTTCCGTCTCCAGTCCACCATACGCATAATCTCACAGTGTTTTGTTAGTGTTATAATTATACCTTTGTCACGTAATTTCCCTTTCTGATCCTCTCAAATACAACCCCCTGTGTTCTATAGAATGTTCGGGCATTCTGGCAATAATTAAGTTCCAACAAATAATAGACTTTAAAATAGGTACCCTCTTCTTAACAGTTAACTCGGAAATATATTAAGAGAGGTTGGTTGTTGGGTTTTGGGTTTTTTTTTTTTTTTGGTTCATTTTTTTAATGCAACCAAGACATGTGGATATGTGGGGCGCCTGGGTGGCTCAGTGGGCTGGGCAATCGACTTCAGCTCAGGTCATGATCTCATGGTTCGTGAGTTTGAGCACCACATCAGGCTCTGTGCTGACAGCTCAGAGCCTAGAGCCTGACTTGGATTCTGTGTCCCCCTCTCTCTCTGGTCCTCCCCTGCTTGTGCTCTGTCTCTCTCTCTCAAAAATAAACAAAGATTAAGAATTTTTTTAAAAAGTGAAACTTGAACATTGTAAAAGGACATTGTTTTCATTGCATATTGCTGC